TTCCTTCCTTCCTTCCTTCCTTCCTTCAGCAAAAATTGCAGCGTCGATCTATCATGCTCATTGCTATACATGCGACATATCATCTTACTTTCAAACTTTCAACCTTAATTCTTGCCTCAATTTCGTCTTACGCTGCAATACAATAGAATATCTGAAATCGTGTATCGGGAGCTTTGAGCAGTATAGTACTCCTAACCGGTTTATCATTTCGTAGTCGTGGTAGTGTACGTATTTTGAAACTTTAGATTGTTAATCGACTCGCGCAGTCGTACTCGTTCTCGTTTTCGTACTCTTCGTCGGATCTAAAGGTCACTATTGCTTAGTTAGTCTATATCAAGTCAAACGTACCGATGTTTTGTCAGCTTTTTTGACCTGCTTTAGTCAAACCTCTTTTATCCTTATTGTCCCTCTGGAATGCGCTGATTGAAATACCTTTGAATGACTCTGCGGGTTGTCTCTCCGTTATTTATGTTTGTTTGACGAGATGACAATAGCGAAATTATCTCAAAAAACAACAACACATTTCCTCCATATTGCAGTGAGTGAGGTGGTCCTGAAGTTATTATAGACTTTAAAGACAGAACAACTGCATTGCAATATTGGACAATAGCGATAACAATGACAATGACGAACAGACGAAGAAAAAGAAAGAAAGAAAGAAAAAATAGCCACCCCGCGTGCAACAAATTTTCTTTGTACTGTAACTCGAAGCAGATAAGAACATTTTTGTTCACTCGTTAATGCAGCACAACCCCGTTCCGCGTGGGATACCAGCAGTCTAAACTTCGTTTATTGGGTGGTGCAAGCTTGAAGTCCATTTTCTTTTTAAATCATTTTAAGTCCTCGATCAAGATCATACCTAGCTGCCCTCCCCCTTCGTAAATTTGAACGATATCGAAGTCTAGCGTGGAGCTACAGTGCGCATATGCACTGGTAACAATCTCTTCCCCAGAGCATGCGTTTCTTCTGGCCTCAGCGAAGAACGAGGGCCCGTCAGGCATAATCCATTTATTGAGACCAGGATTTCTTGGACTTCTGGTATAAGAGCGCATACGTTAAAAGACTTACCAAAAATAAAAAAATATGTCCCCGATTTCTAATTTTTATTTTGATCGGAAGTAAACTCAGAACTCTATTTGAAAGCTTGATTTACCTTGATTATATTTCACTTCGGGAAAACTGCGCATGCGTCAAAAAATGGATTATGCCAGAGCCATTCTTCACCACAGGCCAGAAGAAAAAGAGGCTCTGGGTACGAGATTGTTACCTAAATTGTGCGCACATGCGCACTGCATGTAACTCCTCCTCGCTATTAGATTGTTTAGGTAATTAAAATAATGATTTTCCTAAGATTCTAAATAGCCTGTGTAAAGCCGCTTCCAACCCCTCCCCCCCTTCGGGGAAAAAACGGGGGGGGGGGAGAAAACGTTTTTCCCCGAAGGGGGGAGGGGTGGGAAGCGGCTGTACACAGGCTAGTTTCTAAAGGGAAAAAAAACCTTCCAATTTCAATTTTCCCCCATTTTTCAATTAATTTGTCGAAAATTCTTTATATGAAATTAAAGTTTTTTTGTTTTTTTTTTTAACATTATTTTATTTATTAACAAACATAAATCATGAGTACACATAACAAATAATACAAATAATTACAAATAGTGGTTACAGATGATAGATAATAGTTCTTGAAGATTTTGATATTTATTTACATGAGAGTGTAACTTGCCTTTTTTTCTGGCAATTCTTCTTTCTATTTTTTCATATTCTAAAAGTTTCAATTAAAATACAATAATATTGGGCCTAGAGCTTCTAATTCTAGCATTATATAATACATATTTATATAATAGAAAAAGAAATTCCTCCATTACATTTTTACTTCCTCCTTTAATACTTCTTAATATTACGTTTTTAAAATTCAATTCAGGTAATGTTATATACGCTTTTTTTAACCAATCTTTTATCTTAGAAAACAGTGTGTTTGAAATGAAATTTAAGGGTTTTTTTTGGTAGAAAAACTTGAAAGTCTAGAAATAATAATTTTTCCCCGAACTAATTGTGTAGTTCTTTGTGTGTGTGTGTGTGTGTGTGTCAAAATTAGTATCAATCAAAATTATTCAAAATTAACTGTACAATCACATTCAATTTTCGCTGAATACTTTCTTAACAATGTTTAGATTATTTTGGTAATTTTTGGCTAATAACTCCTTTGTAGGAATAAATGAAGAAATATATCTACATTGGAAATGAAAAAATCGAATATATTTGTCATAAAAATGGTTTTAAGTTACAAAGACATTTTACTTTCATAATACCTTTGTATAGGCAAATAAATAAAGAGAAATTTGTCATCATAGTGAACGAAAAAGCGAATGACTTTTGAATCAATTAAAAACATTTTCCAATATTCAAAATTTAATTGTACATTCACATTCAATTTTGACTAAATGTTTTCATAACAATGTTTAAGTTATTTGGACTATAATTTCGTTGTAGGAATATATTAAGAAATGTATCGTCATAGACGGAAAGAAAGAGCGAAAATTTCATATTTTCGCATAGAAATGGTTTAAAATTACGAAGTTAAAATGAAAACTGGGTGAAAATTTAATTTAAAAAATAAGAAAGATTTATAACGGAGAATCGAGTTAGCGGTTGAATAATTTACTTAAATTCAAGCGCTTCGTATTTTTGTATTCTTTCTGACATCAAAAATAAGTCAATGGAGAATGTATTCCTAGAACTCGGTTGAATGATAGGAAGCGTGTGATTAAAGCATGGATTTGAATCATTATTTTTGAATTTTAATTGGAGCATTTCGACTCCATTGAAAATAACTTCCGCTAGTTAACCCATAATGCAATGGCTTCGTAGTAGCACCTGTTGAAGTACAGCACACATAGCAGGTGTTTGTAAGAATTATAAACAGAGGCGTTGCCCTTAAAAGCCAAATTCTCTCTCCCCTCTTTTCCATTTTCTCCTAAATATACATGCAAGAGAGTTTCAACCAGTGAAATTCATATCATGGCAGACAGTAAGTTCCTTTTGTCATTAAGCGCGGGAATAATGACGGACGCGACGCCAAGCAATTTCCCGCGCTTTATCGCAAATGACGCCTGCTGGGTCTTTAAGAAAATTTTCATCAGAATTTCAAACAACGCTTCATTTTAATTGAAAACTGCAGACCAATAAGATTTTATCGGCAAAAAATAGCCCTTAAGTCGTCAAAATAAATATTGGGAATGACATCTTTCTTCCTAGCCTATCATTAAGTTTTTCTTCTATTGTGCGAAAATAAGGTGACTATTGAGGCACGCGTGGTGGTTACTACACATGCGTGTGAGGATTAGACTCGACGCTACCACGTACACCAGATATTAGCCAATCATATTATCGTATAGAATACAAGGTTTGAAGCTTCGTATACGTGTTGTGAGGGTTTGCCTGTTACCTTGTTGTTATTGTCATTCAATTCTAAGACTATACCTTGGCATATAGCTACAGCTTTACTGTTTACAATTCATCGCCCAATAGAGTGAGCTAGGGTTTGTCTTGGGTCGTGCCATTACGTTGTATTCTGGTCACCGCACAAACAATTCAACAACACCGCAAAAATTGACATTGTGAACAACTTCTTTCGTATTGGGAATACTTTATCTAGTCGAGAAGATGTTGGACATTCTACGGGCTGTAAAATCCTTTTTACAGCCTAACACAACGCACTCGTATGTATTCTGTCATAAATGTTAACTCTACAAAATTGTCGCTTCTTTCCGATATTGCGCGCTTTCGCTTATAATTAAGAACTTCCTCAGTTCTGTCAAAAAATTTTACAATACATATTATGATTTTTCTTCACAGTAGAATTTTAAAATGATGCTGGTAGAATTAAGACCTTTTAGATTATATGATGTTTTTCTGACAGTAATATCTAGAAAACGAGGAACAGTTTTTCATAGCGTGGTGAATTAGAAATCTGTCTGGCAAGGCTGCCCAGCTCGTGGTCTCTTTATTATTCTGTCAAATCGAAAGTCATTTCTTCATGGTGTCCGCACCTTTAAATTCAAAAAAATAAAAGCCATTAAACATTATAAAGCGTAAAGTAACCATTTTTACCTTATGATCTCATATACTGACATTTTTCTTCTTTTGTGTTTAGAGTTTAATATAGTAATATGCGCCGTTCAATGCTACCAATCTAGTTCACGAATAAAGAAAAATAGTTATTGTGTGGATTCATGAATTTAAAAATTGAAAAGATTTTCTGACCACGAAGGAATATTTACTTCGTCTGGCCTAATATTTAGTACGTATTTCGCCCGATTTTGCGATTTAATCGTTTTACAATATAATAAGTCTTTTTAGGTAGATTTTTCATTTTCTATCATTGTGAGCGAATTTTATATCAAAATAGAACTGTGAGTTTTTCTACCAAATCAACTTATATTTACTTTATTTAATCTTCATTAGGTGATAAAAAATGTTAAAGTCATCCGCCACACGCACATAAAACACGGAACCTTTCTTGTTAAAAACCTGAATTTTCAACGTTGAAATGTTTTAGTTGTCAAAAAATATATTTACTCAAGGTAGTTTCAATATAATGCAGTCAAATGGTTTTCTCTGTCACGACGCAGCACTGTAATGGCTTTTAGAAATTCCTGGAATATATGAAACTTATATCATTTTTTCGTCTTTTGGCCGTAAATTTTTAAACAATACATCCCTCGATAATAAAAAATAGAATGTCATCATACGATTTTAATAAGTTCAATTTTACTCATAAAGATCTTTTGTCTTTTGAAAAAGTTCAAAACCTTTTTTTTTTTTTTCCTCTTTTACAAAATATTTAATTGGGCGAGAGTTTAAAGGTTTGTTTTAAAGATGGTTGACAAATTAAAGAATGATTATCTTTGTCTAATTATGGCGCTATAATCCATCTTAGAAAGGGCTGATATAACATTTTTGTGGCACTGCTTCATGAAGAAGTACCACTATGCTATCGATCCATGTCCGTGAGTTTGTAATCTTTACACAGGAACCCCAATACCACATTTCGTAGCAGTATCAGATGATCAGATGACAAGCGAAACGATCAATTCCTTCTCGTATCTTCTCGAAAATGTCCGAATCCTATTGCAAAATGACTGAACATCGAAAGATCGAGGAAGTGATTAAAAAAGTATGATTTACCGCCATTTTCGTTTATACTTTTTCTGTATGCTTCCGCAGTTTTTATCTTCGTATGGATTATATATCTTCAATTAACGAATTTCTATCAAACTATAGATTCGATTACTAGCAGCGCGTTTTTAAGATTTCCCACAAGGAAGAGGACTGGTGGTAATCGCACATGTTTTATCAGTTTTACTATTGAGATATCAAGAAATCTTTTGCACGTCCAATATGGGTTGGCGTTCATTGACTCTTCTCTAACTTATTTTTATTGCTTTTTTGTGTATTGTTTTTATTTTTAACAATCGTTGTCTATTATTTTTGTTATTGTTTTTT